CCTTACATTGTTTTATTTATTATTATTCAATTAATTTTATATGTGTATTTATTTTTATTATAAATTGTATGTGTTTTCTATTAAAAAATTATTTTGGTAGAGGAATTCATTAAACACAACCACATATATTACCCGTGCTGCGATGTTAAATATCTTGATCTTCATTTATTGCTTATTTTTTAAATGTTTTTATTTGTTGTTGATGAATTTACACAAGAATTATTGATTTGTTTAATTAGATGCGTGCTTAAATGTTTTTGATTTACATCTAAGAGTTTTTTTAGTGTGAAAAAACACATTAAAGAATTCTGCATATTCAATTTTTTATTATGTTTTGATATTTTAGATTTGATGCTTATTCTTATGATTTTTTTTATTTTTTTCCTTGAACCTTTAATAAAAGTTTCATTGTTTGAGGGAATTTTTTGAATTTTTATTTTATAGAATTTAATTACCAAATAACCCTTGAGGTCAACTTTATTTTGCCTAGGGTCGAGGGGCATTTTTTATTTTTTAATCTCGATGTTGTATGCAATTGTCACATGAAATCAATAGTGCTCTGCTCTTTTTGTAAGAAAAGAGGTTGGAGCATGGTCAACACGTAGTGGCACCTGTGCCGATGCGTTTAGCACCTCTTGATTGTTATTGGTAGCATTTTAGGGTATTGTTATTGGTAGCACCTCTTCACGATGGGTTGGTGTTTGTCATCATCCATGTCATGACAAAGCTTCAATAATAAGTTTTTTCCTTCCCCTTTTTTCTCTCCCCTCAATTTCAAAAGGTGTGCTGGCTATGCAAAATTGCAAAATAGTTTTCAATCTCTTAATTATATCAAATTTGATTTATTTACTTTTCAATGTCATTCCTTAACATTTGATTTTTTATGCTTTTTTTATCAAATTTGATTCTTATTCTTTTGATTCCTATTTATTTTTCTTTTAGTCTTTTTTTTATTGAATTTTATTTTTTTAATTTAATCCTCTAGTCATTTGATTTTAATGCTTTTTTTTCATTGAATTTGATTCTCATTTTTATGATTGCAATTCCTTTTATTTTGAATTCTCTTCTTTTTTTTTTTTTCAATTTCATCCCTTATAGTTTAATTGTATTGAATTTACATATCATATTTGGTGTTTTTTTATTATGCTTTTAAAACACAGCCTAGAAAATGCCATTTTTTAATTTTGCATGAAGTAAAAATGCTATTTTTTTATTAAAAAATAAAATCAAAGGGTGTTGACATGATTTTTCTCTAGCTAATCACTTGGTTTTTGTATTTAGCTAAAAAGTAAAAAAAATGTATTATCTTAATAAAAGAAAAATTAGAGAAAAAATATTAATTATGATGTTCTTCCTTTGATTGATCTTTTTTTTTTGTTTTTTAAGTTTTATCCATTTCTATTTGATTTTTTTTTTGTTTTTATATCAAATATGATATTCTTTTTTTTAAATTATTTTCTTGGTTTTTCTTTCTTTCAATTTTATCCCTCAATATTTCATTTTATTTTTTTTTAGATTTTATTTTTATTTTTTAATTTCTTTTTTTATCCTTTTTTAATTTATTTTTTCTTTCAATTTTGTAACTCGACATTTTATTTCATTTGTTTTATATTCAATTTTGGTTTTTATTTTTTTAATTGCTCCTTTTTTTTATCTTTGATCTTTTTTATTTTATTTTTTTATTAAGTCCCTCATTATTCGCTTTCATTAGTTTTATACTATATTTATCCTTATTGTTTTAATTATTTTTTTTGTTTTACATTTTTTTATCATTAAAAATTTTACTTAGTAGTTTTTTGGTCTTTTATATAATCATTTTAGTCGTATGATCAAATTTGATAGTTTTAAAAATTAGGTTTTTTAACTTTGTTTCAACTTAATTTAATTTTATTCTTTGATATTAAACAATTGAATCTTGAATTTTTTATATTTTTTAATTTTCAGCTTTATGTGAAATTATTTCAAATCATTAATTAATTAACTTAACTTGAATCATTGCTTATCACTATTTGAGTTTTTTATATTAAAAAAATTTAAATAGTACACGCAAAAAAAAAAACATCTAATCAGTCTTATATTGCAGAATTTTCAGGCAAGACTAACGAAAAAAGATAAGTAACAAACGTATTTAAGGGGAGTCGACACTCATAAGAACAATTTAACCCAAGCACCAGATTTCTACCCTGGTCGACACGACACAAAAGTCTTCATTTTCATATCTTTTCAACACCTTTGAAAATAAAAGTAGTTCTAGAAACTTCTCCAAATACTTTGGAGGCATGTTTCGAAAGGCCTTGTACAGCGGTTCAG